TTCCGTCTCCTCGGCTCTCTACCCACCATGCTTCCCAGTCCCCGACTGGAAGCTTCTTGAAAGTAGGAAGGCTGGGTCCTCGTGGTGTCCCTAGGGCTAGCCCGCTGCCTGGGGAGTCCTGGCCACCCCACGGTGGATGGAGCGCGGGGCGGGGTGCGGATCAGGGCGCGGCGGGGATCAGGGCGCGGCGGGAGGGCAGAACCGGAGCAGCGGACCGGCCCGGGGCTTTTCGGGGGTGGGGGGAGGTTAGTTCTTGGCGCTCTGTGGCTGCTTGCAGCCTAACCCAGCCCACCCAATCCCGCTCGCCCTCCCAGAGGCGTGCCCACCCTCCCAGGTGATCTCGAACCTTCTCCCGCACACACCCCAACAACAAACAACCCTCCGCGCTCTCCCTCCAGAAAATGGAGGTGGAGCCTGACCTCCGCCAGAGGCTGCCGCAGCTGCCGGGGGGAGGGCACACTGCTCCAGTCCTTGGGGGCGTCTCTGCCCCGTGGGAGTGACAGGGTGTGGGGGCCTTGGCGGGCTCCCAAGCACCGGGAAAGGCCTGCCCCCATCATCTCGACCCTCCACTGGCAAAGGCAGATGGGGAGGCTTCAGTGAGTGCCCGCTTGCGACTGTCCCTCTCAGGCTTAAGTGCTCTCGTACCCATCCCCGCCATTTATATCCAGCCCCTCCTCGAACCCTTCAGCCACAAGGGCTGGGTGAGGCTCTGTGCTTAGCAAGCGGCCCGGAAAGGATGCAGCTCTCCTGCGCTCCCGGGAGCCGTGTGCCCATCCCCCACCCCATTGACGGGGTGGGGTGCAGCTGGTGGGGGGGTGGTGAGACTGACCCCAGGGACTCCGATTATGGCAGGAAGGCGCCCGAAGTGGAGTGTAGTCAGCAGCTGTTGGACTGCAGTAGAGGCAACTTAAGTCTAGGAGTAGAGAATGCCCCCCAGGGGGAAGGCCAGGGACCCAAAGAGGGTTAGGAGTCTGGTGTCAGAGGGAGGGAAGGAGCAGAAACAGCTTTTGCAGCCTGCAAAGACTTCCGTGGCCAGCAATGTGGAGGCTAGCACTGGCAAGATGGAGGGGGTTGGGGTACAGCACCATGGTATGAGATCCCCAAAGTCTGAGCGCATGTAACTCCCTTGTAGCTTGTGAGAAGAATGGGTCCCACAGAAAACACACACACACACCTCGCCCCAGGCTGTGGCAGCGAGTACCCTTTGGGGGAGGAAGAGGTCCTCTTCTTTGCTGGGCACGCAACAGCTGGCTCTTTGGTGGCAGGAGAGGGCCTGGCCCGGCTGGTTTAGTTATAGGGGAAGCCCTTCTGCAGCCCTCTTAATCCCTAGGGAAAGAGGCCCCAGCAGGTAAAGACCAAACAGACTTCTGCATTTGGATTTGCCTGCGGGCAAATAATTTCTGGAGATCCCTTTAAGGAGGGGTGCTCTGATCCCTTTAAGAGGGAGTGGGTCACAGCAAAAGGACTATAAAAGTCCAGGTTTCTTTATTTCCCAACCCCGGGGGCTTCCTATGATGGGGGAGGGGGCAAGTGCTGCTGCCTAATTTAATTAGTGCCCAGGTGTCCCTCCCCCGCCCCCCACAGACAACGCTGCGGATGGGCCAGTGGTGCTGATGGTCCAGGTGGCTCAATAAGTGTTCTTGGGACCTAGAATTTAGGAGCTCTGCGGGGAGAGGCAGGAAAGAAGGTGGGACCTGGGTGTAACCTGGAGGTAGAAGAAACTGGTCCCTGCCACCACTGCAGAGGCTGCGCTGCCCGCTGGGGTGCCCTGCCCCGTGCCAGGTGGCTGGATCTCTAGGCAGGCGATCTGCAGGGACGGCGGCGGGCTGTAGGGGGAGGTGCCTGGTGGCTGGACTGGGGATGACGGAGCAGCCAGTCTGTCCCTGCTGTCAGTCTGGTTGTACTCGGTGGGGGAGGGGTGTGCAGCATGTTCTCTCTGGCCCTGGATGTTTTCCTCTCTGCATCTCCCTCTTTCTGCTCTCCTGCTCTGAGGCAGTTAACCCTTCTTGATGGGTCTTGGAGGTGCCTGGGGAAAGAGAGCAGCCCCTGCCTGGAGGCAGGGAGGGGGTGGCTCTGGAGGTCTGATGGATCCATTCCTCTTTCCAGACCCAGCAGCAGACCCTTTTCAGTGGGGAAACCTCCGGGTTCGTGGACGCCAGAGAAAGGAAAGGTGATGGGCCCCAGGCATGGGCACAGCTGCCTCAGGGAGTGAGGAGGGGGCTGCCATTCACTCAGAAAAGGTTGAGGAGTTGAGGGAAGCAGGAAGAGGTGGAGCCTTTTCCAGGTGTGGAAGGGCTCTGGATTGGGAAGGAAGGAGGCCCAGGTGCTGAGGTTTCTGGAAGTGAGTTGAAGGAGGACAGGAAGCTAAAATGACCCTTTGGGTTTCAGACAGGCTGTGTAACCCGTGCCGCCTCATGGCTGGCTTATAGACCAACTTTTAAAAAGCAACAAAGGAGAAAGAAGGGGAACTCAGGCAGATCAGTGGGTTGCAAGTGCCTTTTAGCTAGCCTGTGTCCCCAAACCATAGCCAGAGCCTCCTGGGGCAAAGGAGACAGCCACCCACATGGGAGGTTCTGAGGACAGAGCTCCTCTAGCTGCCAAGCAGGCTGGGCAGGCTGGGTAGCTGGAGGGGCTCTGCCTCCTCTCCAGTCAGGAATCCCTCTTTTCACTCCCACCTGGGCTCCAAATAAGACAACTTTATTCCTCCCACCCCAGGACCACTGGATATTTGTCCCCAGGTGCCAAGGTGAAGTCCACTCCTGCAACTTCGCCCTGCTATTTCCTAGGCTGAGCGTGGGCTTCCTGCCACGTGGGTCTCCTTCCCTCAGACCAGGTACATTTCTCTCCTGATTTTCTCAGCCTCAATCCCAGTCCATTATCAGGGACGAAGCAGCTGCCAAGGTTGAAGGCTGGGCTGCTGACAGGAGCCCAGTGCCCTCTTCTACCTTGGCCTTTGGCATGACTTAGCTCCGGTGCCACTGCTGCTGTTACCTCCACTGCCAATCTGATGAGGGCCAGGGGCTATCATTGGGACACTGTGACCACTGGGACAGGGAGTAGGGCTGGCCTGCTGTGCTGGGGAGAAGGAACTGCTGGGAATCTTTGTCCTGGAGGCTCAGGGAAGTGAGAAATCCTTTGGTGTCCTACTTTTGTAGGTTTGGGATATTGCTTTGCCCAAGGATGGGAAGTAGAAGGGCAGTTGTTCTAGGAGAACCTGGCCCTTTGAGAAGTTTCTGTGCCGTGGTCTTAGTAGGCCCTGCCTTTACACCTGTCCAGTGAAACACCTAAGGTAGTCTGGGCCCCCTTAGCAGCCCTGGAGGCAGATGGAGAATGGTTATTTATTTATTTATTTGGGGGGGGTGGGGGAGGGCGGTTATTTCCCAGCCACAGAAGCTTGCAGCCCTTATTATCTTAAACACTTATTGGGTGAGTGTTTGAGTCCCAAGGTCTAGGACACTGGGCGCTGTGTGTGGTGCAGATGGAGCACAACAGAAGCCCCTTAGCCACACTCCAAGGCTGTGTTTTTCCTGCTTGCCCAGGCGTCCTCAGCACTCTGGGTGCTTCTCTCTGCCCAAGGCGTTCCTGGGCCCAGCCCCTCCCCGGCTGCTCCCTGTGCTCCGGTGACTTGACACTACCCTTTCGACTGCTGCTCCTTTTACCTCCCAAAGCGCCCCTCCCCCGCCTGAATTGGGAATGAGGCTTTGTTCAGGGGTGGACTCAGCATTTCTCAAGAACCTACTGTGTGCACAACCAGCGCCGGTTGAAGTGAAATCCCGTGCTGGTGGTGGCGCTACAAGGTGCCCAGGACACTACCCCTTCCCGCACCTACAGCGACCTCCCATCCCTCCGTGTGACCTCAGCCTGCTGTGCCCACCCACCCTGCTGACCCCGCGAGCGTGCTCGGGCTTGGAAAGGCACGTCTGTGGGTGTGAGAGAGGAGCCACAGCAGTCGGTGACCGGGGGGAAGGCAGGTAAGTGTCTACTCTTGGTCCCATCCCGGCTTGGGGACGCGAAGCAGGGAGTCCAGCCGCGCCTGGTAGGCTGCCCGCCCCCTTCCCCCTCCCGCGGAGAGCTCTGATGTTCCCCGCGGTGGTGGAAGAGGGTGTGTGGGTGTCAAGGACTCACAGACCAGGCTCTGCTGTCAGCTGCAAATGGATGAGGGCTCCACACTCGGCTTGTGAAGTGGGTGAATTGGGAGCTGGGGTGGGGGGCGGTAGGTGAAGGGCAAAAAGAGGAAAAAGAAATGCGGGTGAGGGGTTACCGAGCCAGGACCGACCTTGCTTGAAAGGAAAGGAGACGTGGCAGGCAGGGAAGTCGGAAAGATGAGGCAAGGGCGGGAGGGGCTTCTCAGCAGTCGGGGCCCTTTCGCTGGAGTCTGGGGCCCTTTCTGCAGGAAAGGGGGGTTGTTCTCGCTTGATTTTTCGGTTGGTCTTCCCGAAGCTTTGCCCTGGGGGCAGCAGCCTCCGATGAGGGTGGGGTGTTCCTCGGCCCGCAGTTTTTTTGTTTTTTTTTTTCCAATGGGTGCAGGAGAGAAGGATACGAGGGTAGAGGGATGTAAAGGGGGTGATGGTCAGGGCGAGGGCAAGATAAGATTTCTCGAGGTGGGGGCTGCAGCTGGGGGTCTTGGGGCTCCAGGGTCAGGTCACCATGGGATACGGTCTCAGGCTCCAGAGACGACGAGAAAAATCCAAGAAGCCCGCAAAGAAAAATCACCCCCCGCCACCACCCTTGGCACCGTACCCCTCCCCCCAGGCCCCACCACTCCCCGCACCGCCTCCCCCCGGCCGCCTCGTGCTGCCCCCTGCGTTGGGACGACCGACCCACGGTTCTGATTGGTCGGAGACCGGGAGGGGGAGCCGAGGGCCGGATTGGCTGGCGGGGCCAGCGCAGGGCGGGGCGGCTGATTGGCGGAGCTGGCCGAGGGGCGCGCCGCTGATTGGCTGGGGACGAGGAAGCAGGAAGGAGGGCGGCGGAGGCTCCGCTCTCGGGGAGTTTGTGGGGGAACCGCGAGCGGCGTAGCGGATCCCGGAGCCCGGCCCCCGCCGCTCGCCCGTCCGGCTGTCTGCCCCGCCCGTCCGGCCCCCGCCGTCCGCCCGCCCCGGCCAGGCGCGCCCGCCCCCCCGACGGCCCCGCCCGGCCGCGGCCCCCGCTCCGCCCGCCCGGCCCCGGCCCCCAGGAGGAGGCGCTGACGCAGCAGCGTGGAGCCCGGGAATTGAGCGCCCCCGGGGGGTTCCAGCCGCCGGATTCCAGCCCGGCCGGGGCCTGCGGGCGCCCAGAGCTGCACCGTCCGCGCCGCCGGTCCCGGTGAGCTAGGGGCCGGGGTCGAGGAGGGGGAAGGGGCGGGCGGGCGGGAGCGAGCCAGCGAGGTAGGCGGACTAGCAAAGGGGAGAGGACCGGCCGCCCGTCAGCGCGCCCCACCGAGCGCGCCGCGGCGCGCCGCCGCCCCCGCCAGCCCGGGAAGGGACGGACGGACGGACGACGCGAAGCAGGTGCGGCCGCCCGCCCGCTCTTGCCGCCTCCCTCCCCCGGGTCCGGCGCCACGGTCCCGCCATCGGGGAGCGCGGCGCGCCTCGAGGTGACAGCCCCCGGGGGCCGCCCGCCTCGCAGGCCGGGGGCGGGGTGGGTGGCGGCCGCAGGGTGGCAGCTCGGCCGGGCGGCGGCGGCGCGGGCGTCCCGGGCTACGGAGGGCGGGAGGACGCCGGTTGTTTCCTCGCCGCGGCGGAGCCGGCTCTTCTCCGAGTGCGCGGGCGGCGAGGCCCCCGCCGCGCCCCCTCCCCCATCGCGGTCCCCGAGGCGAGGGGCCGCGGCCGGGGGCGGCGCCGCCGGATCGCCCGTTCGGGGTGGGGGGCGCCCTCCCGCGCTGGAAGCTGACCGGTTATCGCTGGAGGGGGTCTAGGGGATGGGGGCCGCGCTGGGGCGGGGGGTAGTGTAGATCCGATCGGATCGGGCTGGGAGGAAGGGAGGCGCCGAAGACGGAAGGGGACCGGTTCGAAAAGCGAGTGTGGGCCGCGGGAGGCCCGGCGGGGACCGTGCGGGGCGGCGGCCGAGTCCGAGGTGGAGCGGGGGGAATCGAAGTTGTCAGACCGCCTCCAAGTGACAGCGGGACCCCGTGCTCGCGGCCCGGCCTGGTCCTGCCGTGCTCGACCCGCCGCCTCTCCTCCGGGGCCGGGGGCCAGGTCAGGTCGGGCCGGAGGGGCCCGCTCGGCGGTGAAGAGCCGGACAAAGGCGGCGCCCCAGCGGGCGCAGGTAGTGGCATCGGGGAGGGGAGCGGGCCCGGGGCACCCACCCTGAGGAACCGGACTCTGCCCTGGGGACTGCGGGGGCCAGGGCGTCCGCCGGGAGGAGCTGCGGCACTGGCTGTCGGCTCCAGCCGCTGATAGCCTCGCAGCTCCGGGAAGAGTGGGGTCGACTTGGCCAAGGCGGAGGGGCAGGTGTGGGGGGGTGTGTGTGTGCACTGTGCGCCTTGGCTGCTGGAACCCACCGAAGCGACAGGTCCGGTGAGCCTTTCTAGAGCCTGCCAGCAATGAGGATTTTCAGCAAGTCCCCGAGGTTTAACTCCATCTGGGATGTCTCTTAGTCTCCCATTGTCGGCAGTCTTTAAGAGCATGGAAGACTAGTTGGATTGGGACTAGGTGACACCTTTCCTCAAATGTGCTTGGGCAATTCTACACCTGCGTTGGGCACTTTTCCTTAGGCAAGAAAGGACACACACGGGGCAATGAGAAGCTGAGTAAATCCAGGCAGAAATTTAATGAAGATAAAATAAGGTTTCCAGTTCTCCTCCTTTGTGTCACCTGAGACTCTCCCCACCTTTTTTACCTCCATGTCTTCCACAAAAAGGAGAAAAGGGTCTTAAAGGGGACCACATGTCTCAAAAGGACACCACTGTCCTTGGTCAGCTGGAGGACATTTGGGAACCACTGGGTTAAGCTGTGAGTCTCTCAAACCTCACTAGTGACCAGCTCTAGGCTGGGTTCAGTTTGCCCATTTAGAAAATTCACTCAGAGCTTCTGTGCTCCCTCATCTGACCCCATGCCTAAAGGAGGATTGGGGTTCACAAAAAGAGGAGACTCAGTCTGTTTAGAAGTTGGTCTTTTACTGAGAAGTCTGGGTTGTAGTCCCCCCATCTCAGTAGTGCTGGTTAGGAGGTGCTCTCACTGTGGTTGGCTGTACACCCACCTTTGGAAAGGTGCCTTTCAGCCCTGCCACAGGGGTAGTAGGTCATGTAGTCAATTCATTGTCACCCCCATCCTCCTCCCCAGAAGGGTCTAGACCCCAGCCTGGGTGGAGTCAAGGCTTGTGGGCAGAGACTGAACTTTGTTCTGAGAATGTAATTGTATGTCTAAAATCCGGAGAAGGCTGAAGAGTCTCAAGGCTTTGTGCTTTCTGTGGAGCTACACACTATGTGATTTCTTTTGGTGGCAGTCAGAAGAGGTGACTGGTCTGGCTGCTGGAATGTGAAGGGGAGTTAGTGCTCTTGCCTAGTAGGACAATCATGCCAGTCAGATCCCTGTTTAGGAGAGTGGACTCTGGGGAGTTGAGCCAGTATTGAGGTTCTCCCTTTTGGTATGTCCCTTCCCTTCTTCCTTTCTGTTGCTGTCCCAGTGTCAAGCCTGTGTTGTTGGCCGGCCTCCTTTTCTCTCCTGCTCCCTCTGCTTCTCTTGTACACAGCTATCATTTCTTCTTGAAGCACCTCTTCTACATGTCACTTCCTTACCCACAAAATTGCACTGGCTCCCCTTTTCCTGCAGCCTGCCCCTAAAGTCCCTAAGGCTCTTCCCTAGTCATGTCATGCACAGTTGTCTCCTGCCCTTTGCTCCTGCCACTCCCACCCTCTCCTTTCCTCCCTCCCATCTGTCTGCAGTCTCTCTGTGGCTCAGGCCACTCCAGTCATCTGCTCTAAGCTTGTGACCCTGGGTTTTCTAACATGCTATCATCTTGAGAGGTTTTGTAGAATGGAAGTTTCTTAAGGACAGGGATAATATGAGTGTAAACGTATGTGTTGTGTGAATATTCCAGTGTCCCTCATCTAGTGCTGTGCATGTTGTTTTTGTTGAATGAATAAATGACTGTTGGGTTGGATAGGAATAGAAGGTGGTGTGGGGGGGGAGGGGTGTGGACAATGACCTTCCCTTCATCTTCTCCTGAACTGGTCAGTATGGAGTCCTTGAGGGAGGGGGTTCTCTGACCTTCCCTGTCAAAGGCAAATGGGACATGTTTGGGGGAGCTCTGTTTAGCTGCTGTTTTTGATACTTCTGATGGTGAAGATTCAGTCCTGTGGATTGCTCACTTGACACCATATAGATGTGAATTGGAAAAGGGTTGTAATCCTTTTTCCTCCTACCCCACCAGACCATTCTCTGTCCCCAGCTTTGCTGTTCTTATGCAGTTTTCCTTGTCCATGCTAAATGAATCCATATGTTTTATCTCTTCTCAATCCCGGTGTAAATGAGGGAGAAAACGTAATCCTGAGAACAGAAAACAAAATTCTGGGGCTGGCCTGTGGATAGGACTTGTAGGGTTCATTTTGTAGGAGGTGTTTCACTGACTTGGAGGCACAGTCAGCCCCACTTAAGACCTGTCAGAAAGGAGAGGTACTGTCCCAGCCCTCTTAGAACTTGGTTTTTGTTCACCATTAAGCCTGGACAGTGGGGGAAATGGGAAAGAAGACTGGTGACTGGTTTGTAGCTAGACAGTGAGAAAACATACTGTGCATCCATCCTCTTTTCCCCAAACCTCCCTTTTGTGCCCCATTTTGATGATTAATGGACCAGCCTTTCCCTTCCAAGCTGGAAGGCCACCCCTCACAGTTGCTATGGCAATGCAGACCGCTCCCCCCCCTCCCCCGGCAATTAAAAAATCCCTACTACTTCTCTCCTCCTACTGTAGCAGGAGAAAAGCTTCCTCAGGATACCTCTCCTGGGTGCTCTCCTCAGCTGTTCTAGAACACGATCCTTCCTCTCTTCATGGGATTGCCTGAGTTTCTTCACCCTGAGCCAGCAGCTCCTAGAACACTTCTGTCTGGAATGAGAGAAAATACCTTTTTGTTTATTCAGTCACAATGTGAATTAAAACCCAAAAGAGCCCACCTCTCTCTTCCTTTTGGGTTAGAGAAAGTGTTCTCCACACCTTCGGTATGTAGAAGAATGAGTTGGGGAGCATTTGACATCCACAAAGGAAATTTCAGTAGACCTGAAAGGGATTCAGTCTCTGAGCATACATACTTCAACTTGGAGTCCTGTGGGGAGCTGCAATTTATTTATTTTCATTCCTCCCCAACGCTCTGTCCCAGCACCCAGGAGGACTTGCTATTTTCTTTTTATCTGTTCTTATTCTTCTTGGACTTGCTCAGGCAACATCTGGCCTCAGCACCCTGTCGCAAGGTGAGTCATTAAGGAGAAAAAAAAAAATTAAGGAAAAAAGTCTCTGGAGCTGAGAAGTTGCTTGTGTTGAACTAAGGCTGCCAGCTGAAGCCTCCAAGTTTATGGAGCATTATATGAACAGCCTTGACATTAAAGGGCCTCCTTTTTATGAATGGGTTGTGAAGAATGTAAATAAAGCAGCATCTCTCAATGGGGAAGCATTTTACATAAGCAGTACTACCCCGGCCCAAGTATTTATGGGAATTTGCTAGCACAGCCTGGCAAGGCTCACTTCCTTTGTGAACTTGCCATTGTGCCAGGGGACTTTGGAGGGACAAGGAGAGTGTGCTTTGGTTCTGAGGACAGCCCCAGCACTCTGGCTCTGCATGACTCCTGGCCTTGACTTGATGGGCCAACTCAGGGTTGAGAGTCTTTTAACCCTGAAAAGATGGAAAATCCTGTGTGTAGCCAAGTACGCATGAAGATTAGATGCATAGGCTCCCAGTGCTAGGGGTGCCAAGATTCTGCTCCTGACCCCTCTGGCTGCTTACACCCCCCCACTGCCCAGGTTGGGACATAAAGAGGTCTTAGATGTTGAAATCCTGCCTGATTTTATGGGAGGCACCTAACTGGTAAGTAAGATGGACTGGTTTGAATTTCAGCTCCTTTATGTTTCTCCAGCTCACCTCCTGGTACTGCCACTAATGAGCAGTAAAATGTCTAAAGGGCGGTGGAGGAAGAGCAGCAGTGTGGGTTGCAGATGGCCTGACAAGTGCCTCCGTGCCCCAGAGCCCAGCCTAGCCTTAGCATCCTCATGGGGGTGTAGGTGTCCTGCTCCAGGTGACTTGATCTGGTGGATCTGGTGAGCAGGCGGCAGGATGCAGTCACATCCAAGACTTGTGTCTTAGGGGAGGGGGGTTTTCAACAGCTTCTTTCCCCAGT